ACCCAGGGCACTGTGGTAACAGCAACGTGCAGCCGTGTCGGCCACTCACAGTGCACCAGGCACTTCCCTGACCTTCCCCAGGGTTCCCGTTTGGGGTGAGGAAACCGAGGCACATCAAGGGCCTTCCCCATGAGCCGCCAGGTTAGCCCAGGGCTCTGGGGTAAACTGGGGTAAAATTTGGGGCTGGCTCCCTCAGCCTTGCTCCCTGAAGCTCCGGGCTCACGCCCGGGCCTGGCCTCTCTCCCTCTTCCCGGCTTTTGCTGACAACGGGAACTCACTGTCACCCAGGCTCACGGTCACTCTGCGGACACCAGCTGAGGCTCTGAGACTCTCCCGCCCTTCCACCTTGCTGAGCTTCCCCGGTGCCCCCCCGCCTGAGCCAGGGGCCAAGTGGCCATCTGGCACGGGTGCTGGCGAGAGAATCCCTGCCCCGGCGCAGAGGCTGGGCGAGGACGGTTACTCAAGCCTGAGGGCTTCCGCCTGGAGGAGCCCGTAGGGAGCCGAGCCCCAGCGGCGGGGACGGGATTCCCAGGCTCCAGCCCCGGTTCCTCTTCCCGTCAGTCACCCGCACCGTGGTCCCGCTGCAACGGCCCGACTGGGGTTGTCGTAAGAACCAACGTCCTCCTGGCTCCAGGACAAGGGGTGGGGAAGGGAACCAACGGGTCGTCTCCGGGGACAGGCAGGGCCTGGGCCGGGCGGGAGTCTCGACCTGTGAGCACAGGCAAGTGGACCCTCATGGCTCTCAGGGACCAGTGGCCCTGCTCCCCCAGAGCCTGGCACACAGCAGGCGCTCAGTCCATGTCCGCTGTGTCCTCAGCTCAATCAGTCAAGGGTTCCCACCTTGCCCTGACACCGCCATCTGCACTTAGCGCCTGCTGTATGCACAGCCCTGTTTCAAGTCGAGAGTCGGGGGACGTCAGGTCAGGGGAGACCATATCTTTGGGGGGCTTGGCTTCCAGCAGGGAGACCAGACTTGGCTGCAGCCCCATTTATGAGCACCAGCTGTATACTGTGGGAAGAAAGTTGTCCAGGTGCCACAGCAGGAGACAGAAGACACAGTTTGTCCCAGTATAATAACTGATGGCCGGGCGTGGTGGCTCACGCCTGTAATCCAAGCACTTTGGAGGCCAAGGCGGGCAGATCACCTGAGGTCGGGAGTTCAAGACCAGCCTGACCAACATGGTCAAACCCCGTCTTTTAAAAAATAATAATAATAAATAGCGCCGGGCGCGGTGGCTCAAGCCTGTAATCCCAGCACTTTGGGAGGCCGAGGCGGGTGGATCACGAGGTCGAGAGATCGAGACCATCCTGGTCAACATGGTGAAACCCCGTCTCTACTAAAAGTGCAAAAAATTAGCTGGGCATGGTGGCACATGCCTGTAATCCCAGCTACTCAGGAGGCTGAGGCAGGACAATTGCCTGAACCCAGGAGGCGGAGGTTGCGGTGAGCCGAGATCGCGCCATTGCACTCCAGCCTGGGTAACAAGGGCGAAACTCCGTCTCAAAAAAAAATAATAATAATAATAATAATAAATAAATAAATAACTGATTACTTAGATATAGCAATGATACCCATTATAAATAACTGAGTAGTTATAGCTATGATATATTTAGTGATTACTTAGTTATGCAAATGACACCAAATAGATATTAGATTCAATCACATAATCAGTTACACAGTCAATCTTTTTACTTATTTATTTATTTTTTGAGACGAGGTTTCACCGTGTTGGCCAGGCTGGTCTCAAACTCCTGACCTCGTGACCCACCCACCTCGGCCTACCGCGCCTGGCCCACAGTCAATCTTAGTACGTCGTTATTCTTTATTAATCTTTAGTATTAGAGTATAGGAAAACTGCAGTCTTACAGTATGGACATAATCCAGTGAAATATAATTCGGAGCTGAAGGGATGTTGTTGGGGTGACCAGGAGGTGACAGTGAACCCCTTGCGGTAGCGCCGGCTTCTGGGAAGGTGCCCCTTACTCAGCGGCCGTGAGGGGGTCTCCCTCTCCCTGGGGAGTTCAGAGAACACCCCGCTCTGCAGGCCCTCGAGGAAGGTCTGACAATGGCGCAGCTGCCCGCAGACACCCAGGGGCCTAAACCCTCCCCGTGGTGCGGTGCTCCCACAGTCGCCATCCTGTCCACCTTCACGTTCCACTTTCCCACCCGCTGCCCCCGTGTAAATCCTGAGAGGCTGTGAGGAGTAAGAACAGAGGAGCCCCAGTAGCCTTTGATCTCTGATAAGTGACAGGGAGACACTGAAGTAGCTGCCTCCCCTCTGTGCGGCAGCTGCCTGAGAGGGCGGGGCCCTCTGTGCTGTACCCACGTGGCCCCCGTCATTATACCCACGTGGCCCCCCGCACTGTACCCACCTGGACCCCTGTACTGTACCCACGTGGACCTCTGGGCTGTACCCACGGGACCCCTGTGCTTACCCACGTGGCCCCTGTGCTGTACCCACGGGACCCCTGTACTTACCCACGTGGACCTCTGTGCTGTACCCACGGGACCCCTGTACTTACCCACGTGGCCACCTGTGCGGTACCCACGGGACCCCTTCACTATACCCACGTGGCCCCCTGTGCTGTACCCATGTGGCCCCCTGTGCTGTACCCACATGGCCCCTGTCATTATACCCACGTGGCCCCCTGCGCTGTACCCACCTGGACCCCTGTACTGTACCCATGTGGACCTCTGTGCTGTACCCACAGGACCCCTGTACTTACCCACGTGGCCCCACTACTTATCCACATGACCCCCTGTACTATATGCCCGTGACCGCCTGCACTATACCCACGTGATCCCCACACCGTGCCCACGTGACACCCTGTACTGTATCCACGTGACCACCTGCACTGTGCTCACGTGACCCCCTGTACTATATGCACGTGACCGCCTGCACTATACCCACGTGATCCCCTGCACCGTGCCCACGTGACACCCTGTACTGTATCCACGTGACCCCCTGTACTATATGCATGTGACCGCCTGCACTATACCCACGTGATCCCCTGCACCATGCCCACGTGACACCCTGTACTGTATCCATGTGACCCCTGCACTGTGCCCACGTGGCCCCTGCACTATACCCACGTGGCCCCCTGTACTATACACGCCTGACCCCTGCACTGTACTCACGTGGCCCCCTGTACTATACCCACGTGACCCCCTGCACTGTGCCCACGTGACCCCCTGAAATATACCCACATGGCCCCCTGCACTGTGCCCACGTGACCCCCTGAACTATACCCACATGACCCCCTGTACTATACCCACGTGACCACCTGCACTGTGCTCACGTGACCCCCTGCACTATACCCACGTGATCCCCTGCACCGTGCCCACGTGACACCCTGTACTGTATCCACGTGACCCCCTGTACTATATGCACGTGACCGCCTGCACTATACCCACGTGATCCCCTGCACCAAGCCCACGTGACACCCTGTACTGTATCCATGTGACCCCCTGCACTGTGCCCACATGGCCCCTGCACTATACCCACGGGACCCCCGCTCTGTGCCCACGTGATCCACTGCACTATACCCACATGGCCCCCTGTACTATACCCGCCTGACCCCTGTACTGTACCCACGTGGCCCCCTGTACTATACCCACGTGACCCCCTGCACTGTGCCCACGTGACCCCCTGAAATATACCCACATGGCCCCCTGCACTGTGCCCACGTGACCCCCTGAACTATACCCACATGACCCCCTGTACTATACCCACGTGACCCCCTGCACTGTGCCCACGTGACCCCCTGGACTATACCCACGTGACCCCCTGCACTGTGCCCACGTGACCCCCTGGACTATACCCACGTGACCCCCTGCGCTGTACCCACGTGGCCGCCCCGTATTGTAAGAACGTGACTGGCCTGACCCCTACCAGTCATGTCGGATGAGTCAGTCTGCAGCCTCCCCGCCTCGTGTACAGTAAACATCAGCGCGTCCTGGCCTTCGGGGCCACTGTGGACCCGGCCCAGCTGCATTCTGCTCGGATCCCCGTGTCTGTGTCTTCCTTTTCTACGATCTGTCCTCTCCGCACACAAAAGAGCCCCCACCACCCTGCGGGCCTAACCCTGCCGTGTGCTGCATTCACATGTGCACTGACGGTGACACGTGCGGACGTGGGTTCGTATCCAGGTGCTGGTGTGGCCGCTTGACCCTGTTTAACTTCAGGCCACTGAAGTAAACTCTCTGTGACTCAGTTTCCTCCTCTGTAAAATTATAATCACAGGATACATCATGTAAACCTGTCACAAAGGTAAAATAAATTAACGTTTGTAAAGTTCTTGGCTTAGAAAGTGTCCGGCTGGGCGCGGTGGCTCACGCCTGTAATGTCAGCACTTTGGGAGGCCGAGGCGGGCGGATCACCTGAGGCCAGGAGTTTGAGACCACACTCACCAACACAGAGAAACCCCGTCTCTACTAAAAATACAAAATTAGTCAGGCATGGTGGCGGGCATCTGTAATCTCAGCTACTCGGGAGGCTGAGGCAAGAGAATCTCTTGAACCCGGGAGGCGGAGGTTGCGGTGAGCCGACACTGGGCCACTGCTCTCCAGCCTGGGCAAAAAGAGCAAGATTCTGTCAAAAAGAAAAACAATCAGCGGGAGCCTCCTTTCCTGTCCCCACGTGTCCTGGAGCTTCGTCCCCTCTCTGTGGCTAACGCCTCTTTCTCGTGGACAGCGGGACTGTGGCTTCCCCCTTGTCCCCGCCGCGGGCCTCCCCTCGACGCTCACCCCAGCTCATTTCTCACGCTTCCTCTCAGGGGACTCCTCCCCTGCTGACTGCCCCCAACGAGAAATACTGTTCCGACCCCGTCACCCCTCCCCTGAGCCCACAGCCTGCCCCTGCCTGTCGCCCACCCCATCCCCTGGCCTCTTGAACTAAGGCCTCTGCCTTGGCTGTGCCCCCTGGCTGGTGGTCCTTCTGATGTTTCTCTTCACACCTTGGTATGCAACTCTGGCACTGCCGCCTCCTCCAGGAAGCCCCTCAGGGTGCTTCCCTATCCCCAGCCTCCTCCTCAAGGAGGACCTGAGCCGGCAGAAACACGGCTGCAGCCGTGAGGGCCCACACAGGCATCTTGCCAGTTCTAGGAAATATCTGGGGCGATTCCATTTTCCAGATGAGGAAACTGAGGCATGGAGATGAATAACAAGTTCCCCAGGGCTACCCTGACGGGGCTGGCTTAGAACCCACATCCACGGGCATCCAGGAGACAGACCCCCTGCGACCTGGACCCCCAGGCCTCCGATCCGACTCCCCCCATCCCGAGCTTGGAGCTCTGGGACTTAAGCACTGGGGGCCTCTGGGCGGTTCTCCCTCCTCTCCCTCTGCGGGAAGAACAGACAGGAGCCGGGGGAAGTTTCAACATTTATTGAGGTCACTGTGGGGTGGAGTACAGGGCCGGCCTGTCTCCCGGAGCCCCATGGGAGGGAGCGTGGGGAAGGGGACGGGTGGGGCCATCCCCGACATCGGGGCGAGGAGCAGCGTTCGGGGAAGAACTGCCTCTGTCCAAAACTCCCCCTACAGGTCTGCGGCTGGGCTGGGACCCCACCGGGGCCGTGGGAGGAGGGGAGGCTCGGGGGCTGTCCTCGGCCCCCACACGGCGCAGTGTGGAGTGGATCCAGTCAACATAGAGTGCCACCCTCGCGAAGAAGTCGGGGTACTGGCGGCTGGCACATCCTTTGATCATGAAGGAGTGTAAGCCCTGGACGACGCCATCACAGATCAGGGGGCCACCTCCGTCTCCCTGGAGGGTGTGGGGTGGTCAGTCACCCACGCTGGCCCCAGGCGGCCAGGAAGGGGGCTGGATGGCCACAAGCTGTTTCAGAATAAAATGCTCCCAGTCTGGAACTCTGGAATTTTCTGTCTCTTCTTTTTTTTAAGACAGAGTCTTGCTCTGTTGCCCAGGCTGGACTGCACTGGCACAATCTCAGCTCACTGCAACCTCCACCTCCTGGGTTCAAGCAATTTTCCTGTCTCAGCCTCCCGAGTAGCTGGGACTACAGGTGCCCACCACCACACCCAGCTAATTTTTGTATTTTTTTTTTTCTTTTTTGAGACGGAGTTTTGCTCTTGTTACCCAGGCTGGAGTGCAATGGCACGATCTCGGCTCACCGCAACCTCCACCTCCTGGGTTCAGGCAATTCTCCTGCCTCAGCCTCCTGAGTAGCTGGGATTACAGGCACGCGCCACCACACCCAGCTAATTTTTTGCACTTTTAGTAGAGACGGGGTTTCACCATGTTGACCAGGATGGTCTCGATCTCTCGACCTCGTGATCCACCCGCCTCGGCCTCCCAAAGTGCTGGGATTACAGGCTTGAGCCACCGTGCCCGGCTTAATTTTTGTATTTTTAGTAGAGACGGGGTTTCACCATGTTGGTCAGGGTGGTCTCGATCTCTTGACCTTGTGATCTGCCCGCCTCGGCCTCCCAAAGTGCTGGGATTACAGGTGTGAACCACGGCGCCCAGCCTCTTTATTAATTTATTTATTTTGACAGAGTCTAGCTCTGTCACCCCGACTGGAGTGCAGTATTGTGATCTCAGCTCACTGCAACCTCCACCTCCCAGGTTTAAGCGATTCTCATGCCTCAGCCTCTGGGGGAGCGTCCTTTCTTTCTCTTGAGACAGGGTCTGGCTCTGTTGCCCAGGCTGGAGTGCAGTGGCACCATCACAGCTCACTGCAACCTCGAACTCCCCGGCTCAAGCAATCCAGCTGCCTTCGCCTCCTGAGTAGCTGGGTCTACAGGCTCACACCACCACGACGGGCTAATTTTTAAACTATTTGTAGAGATGCCATCCTGCTGTATTGCCCAGGCTGGTCTTGAACTCCTGGACTCAAGAGATCCTTCCTCCTCGGCTTCCCAAAGTGCTGGGATTACAGGCGTGAGGCAGCACTGCTGGCCTGGAATGTTCTTTAAAATGTGTGAGCACCGGCTGGGCACAGAGGCTCGTGCCTGTAATCCCAGCACTTCGGGAGGCCGAGCTGGGTGGATGACTCGAGGCCAGGAGATCAGGACCAGGCTGGTCAACATGGAGAAACCTCCTCTCTACTAAGAATTCAACAATCAGCTGGGCATGGTGGCAGGTGCCTGTAGTCCCAGCTACTCAGGAGGCTGAGGCAGGAGAAGCCCTTGAACCCGAGAGGCAGAGCTTGCAGTGAGCCGAGATCGCACCACTGCACTCCAGCCTGGACAACAGAGTGAGACTCCATCAAAAAAATAAGAAAACAAAAGTGTGAGGCGGGAAGGGCTGAGGCCATTCATAGGAACATTTATGGGCCTCCAATGAACACCTGGATCCCTGGATTCTGGAAGGGGCCCCGGGGGGAGGCAGATGGGTCTCCCACACCTTCCTGTGGTCCTAGACGGGTGTGGGGCGGGGAACCCCCAGACCCACCCAGGCAGCCGGGTGCAATGTGAGTGACCCCACCCCGTTGAGTCTGCCCATTGGGTGCTGGGTGTGCCCGCCGTCCAGGTGGGGAGACCGAGGCACAGCTTGAGGGCCACACAGCCAGGCAGTGGACCTGGAACCCTGGTCACCCTCCCTCCTCCACTCGGGGCAGCCCCAAGCCAGGTGCCCACCGAGGTTACTCACAAAGCACATGCCAGCCCTGCGCTGGGGCACGAACGTGCATATGTTATGCTGCCGACACAGGAAGGTGACCACGGTGACATTGAGCTCCTGCAGGACCCGGGCCAGGGGGCCGTGGGTGTCCAGGCGGCCCCAGCCCATGGCCAGGCACTGGGTGCCGTGGGGCACCGGCTGGTCTTGCTGTGGCAGCTGGACTGTGGCGATGAAGGCGTTGAGGGTGGCTGGGCGGCTCAGCTGGGGCGGAAGGTGGGCGGCGGTGAGACACTATCCGAGGCCCCCGAGGCCGCCGGGACCGCCCTCCCACCACGTCCACTGCCTCCAGATGCCTCCCACGGGCGTCACACATGCTGTTCCCTCCGCCTGGACCCACCAGCCCCTTTGTCCCATTCGTCACTATGTAGTCACTCATTTTTTCTTTTCTTTTCTTTTTTTTTTGAGACAGAGTCTCACTCTGTCACCAGGCGCCAGGCTGGAGTGCAATGGCACAGTCTCGGCTCACCGCAACCTCCACCTCCCGGGTTCAGGCGATTCTCCTGCCTCAGCCTCCTGAGTACCTGGGATTACCGGCACGCACCACCATGCCCGGCTAATTTTTGTATTTTTAGTAGAGACGGGGTTTCACCATGTTGACCAGGATGGTCTCGATCTCTTGACCTCGTGATCCACCCGCCTCGGCCTCCCAAAGTGCTGAGATTACAGGTGTGAGCCACCGCGCCCGGCCCATTCATTCATTTTCAAAGAACTTTTTGTTTTTTTGAGATGGGGTCTTGCTCTGTTGCCCAGGTTGGCGTGTGGTGGCCAGACCACAGCTCACTGCAGCCTCAACCTCCTGGGCTCAAGCGGTCTTGCCACCTCAGCTTATGAGTAGCCAGGTGTGCACCATCACGCCCAGTTGATTTTAAAAATTTTCTTTTGTGGGCTGGGTGCAGTAGCTGCCCCCTCTAATCCTAGCACTTTGGGAGGCAGAGGCGGGCAGATCACTCAAGATCAGGAGTTTGAGACCAGCCTGGCCAAAATGGCAAAACCCCATCTCTACTACAAATACAAAAAATTAGCCAGGCATTATGGTGGACACTTGTAATCCCATCTACTCGGGAGGCTGAGGCAGAAGAACCACTTGAAACCGGGAGGTGGAAGTTGCTGTGAGCCGAGATCGTGCCACTGCACTCCAGCCAGGGTAACAGAGTGAGACTCTGTCTCAAAAATAAAAAATTCTATAGTAGAGATGGGGTCTCACTAAGGTGGTCAGGCTGCTCTCAAACTCCTGGCCTCAAGTGATCCTCCCACCCCGGCCTCCTGAAGTGCTGAGATTACAGGCATGAGCCCCAGAGCCCAGCCCCAAGCATTTACTGAGCACCCCCTGTACCCCATTCCTATTCCAAGCCGCATGGGTCCAGTAATAACACAGACAAAATTCGTCTGCTCTGGGGAGATGATCTTTCGGGGTGGGAGGAGGCCAGGAAGGCCCCCTGACTGAGAGGAACACCATCTAGTCGTGGGGACCTGAGAATCGGGGAAGGCTGTGGCTGTCCTTCCTTGTCATTTCAAGTAGGGTCAGCGGAAGCCGGCGGAGGCATGGGCACCTGAGTTTCTGGGGGAACAGTGCCCCGGCCAGAGGCACAGCCAGGGCAGAGGCCGGGAGGAAAGTGGTCTGGTGCTCAAAGAGCAGTGCTACCGGACCCAGCCTGCCTCGGCTTCGGTCATGGCCAGGTATACAGTGGGTGCTTAATAAATGCTTGCTGAAGGAACGGGGGTCCAGAAGCCCGCTGGCCGTGCCCCTCCGAGCCCTTGAGGCCCTGTGCACCCACCTGGATCAGGAGAACATCATTCAGGTCCTTCTCTGCGTTGTAGCCGTCCTGGAACACTTGGGCCACCGAGAACTCCTGCTGGGTGGGCTCTGGCTCCTGCAGCTTGTGGGCTCCAAGCACCACGTTCACCAGGTTGTGGGGTCTGCGGGGGTGGGCTGGTCACTCCTTGGCGCCTGGCCACTCACTGCCCCCCACAACGGGCTGTTCCCGAGGCTGGGGGTGCAGCCGCAGACCCCTCCCTCAGCGGCTCTGTCCCTAGGGACCCCGACAGCACCATCCCACTCCCTCCCCAGGATCGCCCCCAGGTGAGGGCCGTGGGGTTAGCAGATGGAGCTTAGCCAGGTCCTCCCTGGGCAGGAGAGCGGCCCGGCCAGGCTTGGAGGAACAGGGTGGGCGGATGGAAGGGGCTATGGAGGTGGACACTCACGTATTCTGCAGGCACTGTGCGGCCGTCAGCACGAAGCTGGGGTGGATCAAGATGCCCCCACAGAAATGGCTGCCCCGGGTCCCCCGCAGCTGCAGGGAGGCCATGTAGGGCCGTGAGTGTGGCCGCGCCTCCCGCCCACCCACAATCTCCGCAGCTTGGGTGGCACCTGCTGGGAGAGTCCAGGCGTCAGGGGAGGGGGTCGAAGAGCCGTCCCCGGGCCCCTCTGAGCTTCCGTCTCCCCAGCTGCAACCCCATCAGTGCCTGCGGGCTGGTGGGAACCAGGGCTCCACGCCCAGGCCTGGGGTTAAAATTATGACGATTTCCGAAGGCTCCCTGGTGGTGGGTTTAAGTCCTGAAGGACAGGGAGGCTTTTAAGGGGCCGACAGGCGACCTAGGGTGGTGGCTCGTGCCTGTAATCCCAGCACTTTGGAGGCCAAGGCAGGCAGATCATCCGAGGTCGGCAGTTCAAGACCAGCCTGACCAACATGGTGAAACCCTGTCTCAAAAAAAATAAAAAGATTAAAAACAAAAAAAGAAAAGAAGATTACCCTCAGGATAGGGACCTGAGGGGGCCCATGCTGTCTTCTTCCCCTGATTCCAGCATCAATAACCCCTTGACCCTTTTACTCACTCATTCATTCATTCATTTATTCATATTCACTGAGCATTGGCTGAGGGTCAGCCACCATGCAGGAATTCACCTGTTGTAGGTAATTCCCAAAACAGCTCCCCAGGAGGAAAGGACTGGGTTTGGCCCATTTGACAGATGGGAAACTGAGTCAAACGGCCAGGGCTCCCCCTTGCCCCCATCCTCCCCACCCCTGGAAACACTGGTCCTGAGTAGTGAGCAGAGCCTCTCCTGCTCTGCCGGGAGGGCTTTGGATGGACCTCGTGGTGGACATTCCCCCGGAATCCACCCGTCCCTGGAGGCTGGACGGACGGGCACCTGGCCCACTCACCGCCCAGCAGCAAGGCCAGCAGCGCGGACGCCAGGGCAAGGCTGAAGGGCCGGTGGCTGAGGGCCATGGTGGGGTCCAGGGCCCACCCATGGCTGGGCTCCTCTTATAGCCCAATGCCAGAGGCCGTTGGGTTGCCCAATGCCCCGGCGGGGTCCCCACTTCCTTCTTTTGCTTTGGGAGCCACAGGGAGCCCGGGAGTCAGCACAGATGCCAGGGAGGAGGCGGGGGGCTTTGGGATCAAGGTCCCGGCCTTTGTGGGGGCAGGGAGGCTGGCTCTCAATGACTCACGTCGGGGGTCCCTGGCCAGGTGGGTAGCGTGGCCACAGCCCTCAGAGAAACACACGCCCACGTGCCACCCGCAAGGAGACACCTCACTGACGAGGCCCCTGCGGCCCCAGCAACGCAGGCTGTGGCCGGTGTGTCCCCAGGGCGGGTGAGCTGGAAACCGAGGCACAGCAGGACGTAGCAAGGACAGAGCTCCGAGCTGGGGGGGTGCAGACCCAGACCCACCAGGGCCCTCCGTGTGTCGCCTGAGGCCTCAGTGAACATGCTCCTGCTGGCTTTTGTCTGGAGGTTCATTTGTTCTCCCTTTAAGGCCGGGGTTCTCAAGCAAGGGGTGATTCTCCCATCTGGGTGAGGTCCGGGGACATTTGTGGCTGTCAGGATGGGGGGTGGTTCCTGGAATAGAGTGGGTGCAGGACAGGGCTGGTGCCCAGTATTGGCTGCCCCAGAGAAGGACCCGACCCTGAGGTCCACAGTGCCCAGGGGAGAGACCCTCGCCTCAGACCCTCGGACCCTCTCCTCAGACCCTCAGACCCTCTCCTCAGACTCTCTCCTCAGACCCTCGGACCCTCTCCTCAGACCCTCAGACCCTCTCCTCAGACCCTCAGACTCTCTCCTCAGACCCTCAGACCCTCTCCTCAGACTCTCTCCTCAGACCCTCGGACCCTCTCCTCAGACCCTCAGACCCTCTCCTCAGACCCTCAGACCCTCTCCTCAGACCCTCAGACTCTCTCCTCAGACCCTCGGACCCTCTCCTCAGACCCTCAGACTCTCTCCTCAGACCCTCGGACCCTCTCCTCAGACCCTCAGACTCTCTCCTCAGACCCTCGGACCCTCTCCTCAGACCCTCAGATTCTCTCCTCAGAGTCTCTCCTCAGAGTCTCTCTTCGGACCCTCAGACCCTCTCGTCAGACCCTCTCCTCAGACTCTCCTCAGACCCTCAGACCCTCTCGTAAGACCCTCTCCTCAGATCTTCTCCTCAGACCCTGAGACCCTCATACCCTCACCTCAGACCCTCGGACCCTCAGACTCTCTCCTGAGACCCTCAGACCCACCCCTCGGACCCTCAGATTCTCTCCTCAGACCCTCAGACCCTCTCCTCAGACCCTGAGACCCTCAGATTCTCTCCTCTGAATCTCTCCTCAGACCCTCCGATCCTCACCTCAGACCCTGAGACCCTCGCCTCAGACCCTCAGACTCTCTCCTTAGACCCTCAGACCCTCTCCTCAGACCCTCGGACCCTCTCCTCAGACCCTCAGAGTCTCTCCTCAGACCCTCAGACTCTCTCCTCAGACCCTCGGACCCTCTCCTCAGACCCTCAGATTCTCTCCTCAGAGTCTCTCCTCAGAGTCTCTCTTCGGACCCTCAGACCCTCTCCTCAGACCCTCTCCTCAGACTCTCCTCAGACCCTCAGATCCTCACCTCAGACCCTGAGACCCTCTCCTCAGACCCTCAGACCCTCTCCTCAGACCCTCAGACCCTCTCCTCAGACCCTCTCCTCAGATCTTCTCCTCAGACCCTGAGACCCTCATACCCTCACCTCAGACCCTCAGACCCTCAGACCCTCTCCTCAGATTCTCTCCTCAGACCCTCTCCTCAGATTCTCTCCTCAGACCCTCTCCTCAGATTCTCTCCTCAGACCCTCAGACTCTCTCCTCAGACCCTGAGACCCTCGCCTCAGACCCTCAGACCCTCAGACCCTCTCCTCAGATTCTCTCCTCAGACCCTCAGATCCTCACCTCAGACCCTGAGACCCTTGCCTCAGACCCTCAGACCCTCTCCTCAGACCCTCAGACCCTCTCCTCAGATCTTCTCCTCAGACCCTGAGACCCTCAGACCTTCAGACCCTCAGACTCTCCTCTCAGATCCTCTCCTCAGACCCTCAAATCTTCTTCTCAGAACCTCTCCTCAGACTTTCAGACCCTGTCCTCATACCCTCTTTTTTTTTTTTTTAATTAAGATGGCATTTGGCTCTGTCGCCCTGGCTGGAGTGTAGTGGTGTGACCTTGGCTCCCTGCAACATCCACCTCCCTGGGTCAATCCATCGTCCCGCCTCAGCCTCGGGAGTAGCTGGGATCAGAGGCGGATGCCACCACACCCAGCTAATTTGTTTTTCGTATTTTTAGTAGAAACAGGGTTTCTCCATGTGGCTTAGGCTGATTTCAAACTCCTGACCTCGGGGGATCCACCTGCCTCGGCCACCGGAAGTGCTGGGATGACAGACCTGAGCAGCCACACCCGGCTGATGGATTCCATTTTGAGAAGTGCAGGTTGCTGCGTGCTGGAGCCAGCGCCAGGTGCCAGCCCTCAGGCTGCCGCCATCACTGCCAGCGATGTTACCATCAAGACGGGTGCTCCCTCTGCCCCTCCCTCTCAGGCTGAGCTCCTGGGCCGCTAAATGACCAATTGAGGCCTTCCTCACTTTCAGGCCCCGGCACCCACGGCCTGCATTTAATCCTGCTGTGTTTTGTGACTCTGGACTGGAAACTCCACCTGCCTCTGCTTCGGTTTCCCCATCTGTCACCTGAGAATGAGAGCCACTGCATCTGACAGAGGTTAATTTTTTTTTTTTTTTTTTTGAGACGGAGTTTCGCTCTTGTCACCCAGGCTGGAGTGCAATGGCGCGATCTCGGCTCACCGCAACCTCCGCCTCCTGGGTTCAGGCAATTCTCCTGCCTCAGCCTCCTGCGTAGCTGGGATTACAGGCACGTGCCACCACGCCCAGCTAATTTTTCTGTATTTTTAGTAGAGACGGGGTTTCACCATGTTGACCAGGATGGTCTCGATCTCTCGACCTCGTGATCCACCCGCCTCGGCCTCCCAAAGTGCTGGGATTACAGGCTTGAGCCACTGTGCCCGGCCAATTTTTTTTTTTTTTTTTTTTTTTTTTTTTTTGAGACGGAGTTTCGCTCTTGTTACCCAGGCTGGAGTGCAATGGCGCGATCTCGGCTCACCGCAACCTCCGCCTCCTGGGTTCAGGCAATTCTCCTGCCTCAGCCTCCTGAGTAGCTGGGATTACAGGCACGCGCCACCATGCCCGGCTAATTTTTTGTATTTTTAGTAGAGACGGGGTTTCACCATGTTGACCAGGATGGTCTCGATCTCTTGACCTCGTGATCCACCCGTCTCGGCCTCCCAAAGTGCTGGGATTACAGGCTTGAGCCACCGTGCCCGGCCCCGGCCAATTTTTTTAATACAAATAACAATCCTGGGCAACACAGCAAAACCCCATCTTTACAAAAAATAAAAATTTGGCCGGGCACGATGGCTCACACCTGAAATCCCAGCACTTTGGGAGGCTGAGGCAGGTGGATCACCTGAGGTCGGGAGTTTGAGACCAGCCTCACCAAAGTGGAGAAATTCGGTCTCTACTAAAAATACAAAATTAGCCAGGAGTGGTGGCATGTGCCTGTAGTCTCAGCTACTTACCGGGGAGGCTCAGGCAGGAGATTCACTTGAACCCAGGAGGCAGACGTGGCAGTGAGCCGAGATCGTGCCATTGCACTCTAGCCTGGGCAACACAGCAAGACTCTGCCTCATAAATAAATAAATAAAATAAAATAAACTGGCCGGGTGTGGGTACCCGTGACCCCAGCTCCCTGGGAGGCTGGGATGGGAGTTTGAGGCTGCAGTGAGCTGTGATTGCACCACTGTACTCCAGCCTGGGAGACAGAGAGAGACCCTGTTTCAACAGACACCCCTGCCACACACAGAATAACTAGAGCGTAATAAACCCGGCGTCCAACCACAGATGAATGGATCAACACAGCATGGTCCCTCCACACACAGGCGCAGGACCCAGCCATGAGAAGGAGCGAGGCTTGGACCCAACCACAGCACGGACACACCTTGAGGACTTCACGCTCAGTGAGAGACGCCAGACACAGACGGTCACGCAGCATGGGGCCCCCTTTATACGAAACGTCCAGGACAGACCCATCAAGAGAGACAGGGAGGAAATTCATGGGGGCCGAGGCCAGGGAGGTGATGGAGGGGAGTGACAGCTCCTGGGCACAGGGCTGCTTTTTGGAGTAGTGGGAATGTTCTGGAATTAGAGGTGGTAGTTGTACAACTGTGTTCATGTGTTAAATGTCACAGATTTTTTTTTTTTTTTTTTAGATAGAGTCTCGCTGTGTCACCAGGCTGGAGTTCAGTGGCACGATCTCAGCTCACTGCGACCTCCACCTCCCTGGTTGAAGCGATCCTTCCGCCTCAGCCTCCCGAGTAGCTGGGATTACAGGCACCTCCCACCATGCCCAGCCAATTTCGTATTTTCAGTAGCAATGGGTTTCACCATGTTGGCCAGGCTGCTCTCGATCTCTTGACCTTGTGATCCGCCCAACTCGGCCTCCCAAAGTGCTGGGACTATAGGTGTGAGCCACCGCCCCCGGCCTGAATTTTTTTTTTTTTTTTTAATAGAGAGGGGTCTTGCTATGCTGCCCAGGCTGGTCTGGAACTCCTGGGCTCCAGCGACCTCCCCCGCCGCCTGGCCGCCACTGAATTAAGTGGGTGAATTTGTGTGGTGTGTGTGAAGGACATCTCAACAAAGCTGTTAACCATAAAAAGAAAAGAAAGTTAAGAAAGACGCGTGCACACACGCAGCTGGCGGAGCCCCTGCAAGAGCTGCCCGGGGGTGCTGCCCCAGCCTCTTTGTACATGTGCTTCCCCATCAGTATCTGTTTTCACAAAAGGCCAGTGCAGCCAGGTCCTGGCCTGAGCGTCCCCACATGGACCGCGGGCTCCATCCAGGTCCAAGGCACAGAGGCCTTCGGGGAAGGCACAGGCCAGGGCAACCGGAGCGCTGGGAGGGGGCAGCAGGGAGGGCTCCGTGGAACATGCCTGGGGCTCTGCAGGGGTTGGCTGGGGGGCCAGGGTAGTGGGGAGCCCCTTCCTGTACCAACTGTGGGTGTTGCAACTGGTAACGGCTTCATGGATCGCAGGTGGGGCCCCCCAGGGGAGACCAGGCCTGTGTCCCTGTCTCTCTCTCCACCCTCTCTATGTCTCTCTCTGTCTCTGTCTCTCTGTCTCGCTGTCTCTGTCCCCCTATCTTTCTCTGTCTCTTTGTGTCTCCCTGTATCTGTCTATTCATCTCTGTCTCCCCCATTTTTTTTTCTTTTTTCTTTTTTTTTTTTTTTTTTGAGACGGAGTTTCGCTCTTGTTACCCAGGCTGGAGTGCAATGGCGCGATCTCGGCTCAGCGCAACCTCCGCCTCCTGGGTTCAGGCAATTCTCCTGCCTCAGCCTCCTGAGTAGCTGGGATTACAGGCACGCGCCACCATGCCCAGCTAATTTTTTGTATTTTTAGTAGAGACGGGGTTTCACCATGTTGACCAGGACGGTCTCGATCTCTTGACCTTGTGATCCACCCGCCTCGGCCTCCCAAAGTGCTGGGATTACAGGCTTGAGCCACCGCGCCCGGCTCATTTTTTTTTCTTTTGGAGATGGAGTTTCTCTCTTGTCACCCAGGCTGGAGTGCAATGGCGGGATCTCAGCTCACCCCAACCTCCACCTCCTGGGTTCAAGTGATTCTCCTGCCTCAGCCTCCTGAGTAGCTGGGATTACAGGCACGCGCCACCACACCCGGCTAATTTTGTATGTTTAGTAGAAATGGGATTTCTCCATGTTGGTCAGGCTGGTCTCGAACTCCTGACTTCAGGTGATCCGCCCGCCTTGGCCTCCCAAAGTGCTGGGATTGCAGGTGTGAGCCACCGCGCCCGGCCTGTGTCTCCCTTTTTTAATCTATCTCTCTCATCTCTCTAGCTCTGTCCCTCTTTCTCTGTCTCTGTTCTGTGTCTCCATCTGTCTCTGTCCCTCCATCTCTCTTGGTCGTTCATTTTTCCTCTCCTCTCCTTTCTTTTTCTTTCTTTCTTGTTTTTTTCTGTTTTGAGACAGAGGCTCACTGTGTCTCACCCAGGTTGGAGTGCAATGGCGCCATCTCGGCTCGCTGCAACCTACGCCTCCCGGGTTCAAGCAATTCTCCTGCCTCAGCCTCCCGAGTAGTTGGGGTTCCAGGCGTGCCCCACCACACCAGGCTAATTTTGGCATTTTTAGTAGAGACAGGGTTTCACCATGTTGGCCAGGCTGGTCTCGAACTCCTGACCTGAAGTCATCCGCCCACCTTGGCCTCCCAAAGTGCTGGGATCACAGGTGTGAGCCACCACACCCAGCCTCCTTTCCTTTCCTCTTCAGAAAAGGAAAACCTTCTCTCCCTGAGTGAAGGGAAGATGCTGGTTTTCCCGTGGGGCTCAGCCTCACAGCGGGTGTGTTTTGTGTGTACTTTGTGTTTTGTGCGTGTTGTGTGTTTTGTATGTGTTGTGTTTGTGTTGTGTGTTTTTTTGTGTTTGTTTTTGTTTTGGGTGCGTTGTATATGTGTTTTGGGGGCATTGTGTATGTGTTTTATGTGTTTTGTGTTTTGTATATGTTTTGTGTGTTGTGTGTGTGTTTTATGTATTTTGTGTGTTTTGTGTTTTCTGTTGTGTGTGTTGTGTGTTGTGTGTTTTGGGTGTTGTGTGTGTTTTGGGTCATTGTGTATGTTTTTTGTGTTTTAATTGTGTTTTGTGTTTTGTAAATGTTTTGTGTGTTTGTGTGTGTGTTGTGTGTTTTATGTGTTTTGTGTGTGTTTTGTGTTTTGTGTGTGTTGTGTGTGTTTTGGGTGTGTCTTTAGGTGTGTGTGTTTGGGGTGTGTGTGTTTTGGGTGTGTGTTTAGGCTGAGCCCCACAGGAAAACCAGCATCTTCCCTTCACTCAGGGAGAGAAAGTTTTCCTTTTCCGAGGAGGAAAGGAAAGGAGGCTGGGTGTGGTGGCTCACACCTGTGATCCCAGCACTTTGGGAGGCCGGGGTGGGCAGATGACTTCAGATCACGAGTTCGAGACCAGCCTGGCCAACATGGTGAAATGTATGTGTTGCATGAGTGTTGCGTGTTGTGTGTGTTTTGGGTGTGCATTGTGTTTTATGTGTTTTGTGTTTTGTGTGTGTTGTGTGTGTTTTGGTTGTGTCTTGTGTGTTTTGTGTGTGTTGCATGAGAGTTGTGTGTGTTGTGCCTACTGTTGACTTTCCCATGTGCACTGGGCCCTGACACCGACTGCCTTGCGCACCCACCAGGCCCGTCCACCCACCTGCCCCCCGATGCTCCCTCTCACGGGATTTCTAAGCCAAACACAGACGTTTCACAATCTGTACTGAGAATTCCCAAAACTTAAAAACCTCCCCAAGACACCAGCGATGGGGGCCGGGCTGCCACTGGACCCTGAGCCCGCCTGGGTCTGCTGGGAGGCTGCGGGGGTAGGGCCTGGACGGAGCTGCAGGGTGGGAGGTGGTCTGCCGCTGGGACCCTGTCCCACATCCCTGACATCCACGGCCTGGAGAGGGTCGGGCCACCCACAGTCACCCACAGCCTTGCACTGAAGGCCCTCGAGCCGGGCTGACCCCTGCCAGGTGGACCTGAGACCAGACCCTTGGGCCCAGGAAGCCAGAGCTGCAGGGGCTGAGGGAAGCTGAGCAGAAACCGCCCCAGGGAGGATCCCGCCCAGCAGGGGCCCTCATGACTGGACGTGGCCCCAAGCTGGGGGCACCAGAAGCGCTTGAACCTCAGTCGTGCCTTGGGCCTCAGTTTCCCCATCTGGACAACGATCAGGCAGTGGCTTTGCCTCTCCAAGCTCAAGCAGGGCCCCCACCGGCTGGGTTCCTGAGCCACTGGCATGCCTCCCTAGGCCTCAGATTCCCCCTCTGTAAACAGGACCCGTGATGACCCTGCAGTTCCAGTCCATGGCACATTCACAAAAGAAAAGCAGGGTTTCCGACAAAAACCTGCACGTGAATGTCCACAGACGTGAGACTCACAGCAGCCGGATGCGGAGAGGCTCAGACGTCCATCCACGGGCGTGTGGACCCTCCACGCCCTGGAACACGACTCACCGAGAAAAGGAGTGAAGTTCCGACCCAGGACTCAGCGCGGGACGCCATGCTCAGTGAGACACGCTGGACACGGAAGACCACGCGGTACGTGATTCCATTTCTATGAAATGTCCCGGACAGGCTGATCCACAGAGGCAGAGAGGGGATGCGGGGGTCCCGGGGGGCGGGGTGTGTGGAGAAGAGACGGAGAGTGACGGCTGATGGGGCCGGGGGTTCCTCTGGGGGTGATGGAATATTCTGGAATTCAATAGGGTTGGTGACCACACAACATTGTGAATGTACCAAAGACCACTGAATTTCACACTTTATTTATTTATTGGAGACAGGGTCTCACTCCGTCCCACAGGCTGGAGGGCAGTGGTGCAATTTTGGCTCATTGCAAACTCTGCCTCCCGGGTTCAAGTGATTCTCCTGTCTCAGCCTCCTGAATAGCTGGGATTACAGGTGCCCACCATCACGCCTGGCTGATTTTTGTATTCTTAGTAGAGACGGGGTTTCGCCATGTTGGCCAGGCTGGTCTCGAACTCCTGACCTCAGGTGATGTGCCGGCCTTGGCCTCCCAAAGCGCTGGGATCACAGATGTGAGCCACCGCGCCCGGCCTCTCCTGGGTTTCCTGATGTCGCCCACGGAAGCTGCGTGAGATGTTCTCCAGCAGAATGAGAGGTGGACGGGGGGACTAGAACCTCACAGATTCGGGTTCAAAGCCTGCGTTCGCTGTGCAACCTCAGGGCAGCCACCCAACCTCTCTGAACCTTGGCCTCCCCCCAGCACCCCGCTGTCAGGTGGAGATATCACCAGCCCCTGCTTCTTGGGGCTTCGAAGGAATCCTCAAACATCTGCAATGGACTGAGGTAGGTGCCCCTAAGGCCGGCGAAGGCTCTACTCACACCTCCCCACAGCCCACCCCGATGAAGCAGAAACCAGGAGCAGAGGAGAGAACAGCTTCTTTATTACAGCCAGGGCCACGCAGGCCAGAGCAGGGGCTGGGGTGGGGCCACGGGACGGGGTTGCAGCACACAGGAGGCGTGGAGGTCAGAGCTGGGCTCCGTGGGAGGTCACAGGCTCCGCCTAGGCTGGCCCGAGAGGAGGGGCGTTGAGAACACCATCGATCCATTCTCGGAAGAGCGCCACTGGGGTGAAGAAGTCGGGGCCCCGGCCACAGGGCCCGGTGGAGAAGGAGGCCACACCATGTCCCAGGCCATCGCAGATGAGGGGGGTGCCCCCGTCCCCCTGGGCAGGCGGCAGCTGTGTCAGGGCATCCCTGGGCTCGGCTCCCCAGTCACCCCAGAACTGCAGAGCCCTCCTGCTGCCCCTGGAACCCACGAGTCCTGATCCAGCCCCAGGCCCTTTGCACGTGCTCTTCTCTCTCTGCGCACATTTCCCTCTGCCCTGGTTCACCCCTAATGGAATTTTGGACCAGTTGCTTTCAGGAGCTTCCTGGCACTTGCAGGCTGGGCCAGGTGCCCCTCCCCTGGCTATCACAATGGCTGAGTCCCCCACTGACCTGCTCTGCCTGCCTGCTGGGCCCCCCAACCCCCATCACAGACTTGGCTCCGAGTTTAATAGCTGCTGTCTCTCCAACAGGCGCAGTAGCTCACGCCCGTAATCCCAACACTTTGGGAGGCAGAGGTGAGAAGATCACAAGGTCAGGAGTTTGAGACCAGCCTGGCCAAGATGGTGAAACCCCCATCTCTACTAAAAAAAAAAATACAAAAGTTAGCCAGGCACATGGGTGGGCACCTGTAACCCCAGCAACTCAGGAGGCTGAGGCAGGAGAATCGCTTGAACCCAGGAGGTGGAGGTTGCCATGAGCTGAGATCGAGCCACTGCACTCCAGCCAGCCTGGGCAAGAAGAGCAAAACTCCATCTCAAAAAAAAAAAAAAAATGGGGCCGAGCGCAGTGGCTCTCGCCTGTAATCCAAGCACTTTGGAGGCCAAGGTGTGAGGATCACCTAAGGTCGGGAGTTCAAGACCATCCCGACCAACATGGAGAAACCCCATCTTAAAAAATAAATAAATAAATAAAAATAAATTAAAAACAGCTCAACAAACATTATCTCACTCCTGACAAGAGCTCAATTAAAAAAAAAAAAATGGGGCCAGGCGCGGTGGCTCACGCCTGTAATCCCAGCACTTTGGGAGGCCGAGGCGGGTGGATCACGAGGTCAAGAGATTGAGACCATCCTGGTCAACATGGTGAAACCCCGTCTCTACTAAAAATACAAAAAATTAGCTGGGCATGGTGGCACGTGCCTGTAATCCCAGCTACTCGGGAGGCTGAGGCAGGAGAATTGCCTGAACCCAGGAGGCGGAGGTTGCGGTGAGCCGAGATCGCGCCATTGCACTCCAGCCTGGGTAACAAGAACGAAAAAAAAAAAAAAAGAATACTATTTCTCATGCTGTTAAAATGCTCCATCCTGGGGACCCCCTGCCATGCTGCCCTCAGCTGAACTTGCTTTCTCCTGCCACGGGGAGCTCATTACCTCTCATGACCTCTCCTCCCGCCATGGGGAGTTCATACCTGGCAGATACCGCCCCGGCGGGTGAGCACACCGGTGCACACATTATTGGGGCGACACTGGTCCTCAGGGGTCACAGTCACGTTGATGACCCTGGGAAAACGGGAGAGCGGGCCCCCGCTGCGCCACGTCCCCCAGCCAGCCACCTGGCATCTGGTGCCAGCGTTCACCGTGGCGTTCTGCAGGGGCAGCGGCAGTATGGCCACGCTGCTGGTGAGGTTGGCCTCCCGGTCCAGCTGGGGAAGGAAACGGAGTCAGGGGAGGGTTGGCCCTGGGATCTGGAGCCTCAGGGGCCCGCTGGGAGCAGAAGTGTCAGCAGCAGGAATCGTGGTCTGTATGTGGCTTGCCTCTGGTGCTCAGCAGGGCTGGGTGCGGTGGCTCGTGCCTAAAATCCCAGCACTTTGGGAGGTCAATGTGGGAGGATCAGTTGAGGCCAGGAGTTCGATACCAGCCAGGCCAACAAGGTGACACCTCGTCTCTACTAAAAATCCAAAAAAAAAAAAATTATCCCAGCTCCTTGGGAGGCTGAGGCAGGAAAATCCCTGGAACCCAGAAGGTGGAGGCTGAAGTGAGCCGAGATCGCACCACCGCACTCCAGCCTGGGTGACAGAGCGAGACTCCGTCTCCAAAAAACAAAACAATATTCTGGCAGGACAGTAACCTGCTCTGGGACCCTGGCTAAGTTACTTTACCTCTCTGAGTCTCCAGTTCCTCCTCCATAGAAAAATAAAAATAAAAATAAACAGCCGGGCGCGGTGGCTCAAGCCTGTAATCCCAGCACTTTGGGAGGCCGAGGCGGGTGGATCACAAGGTCAAGGGATCGAGACCAACCTGGTCAACATGGTGAAACCCCGTCTCTACTAAAAATACAAAAAATTAGCTGGGCATGGTGGCGCGTGCCTGTAATCCCAGCTACTCAGGAAGCTGAGACAGGAGAATTGCCTGAACCCAGGAGGCGGAGGTTGCAGTGAGCCGAGATCGCGCCATTGCACTCCAGCCTGGGTAACAAGAGCGAAACTCCGTCTCAAAAAAAAAAAAAAAAAAAAAAAAAAAAAAAAAAAAAAAAAAAATAAACAAACAGGTGCGGTGGCTCTGGCTTGTCATCCCAGCACTTTGGGAGGCCAAAGGAAGAGGATCGTTTGAGTCCAGGAGTTTGAGACCAGCCTGGCCAACACAGCAAGACCCCACCCTCCGTCTCTATTTAAAAATTTTAAAACATAGCCAGATGGAGTGGCTCACACCTGTAATCTCAGCACTTTGGGAGGCCGAGGCAGGTGGATCATTTGAGGTCAGGAGTTCGAAACCAGCCCGGTCCACATAATGAAACCCCATCTCTACCAAAAATATAAAAAATTTAGCTGGGTGTGGTGATGGGCACCTGTAATCCCAGCAACTTGGGAGGCTGAGGCAGGAGAGTTGCTTGAACCCTGGAGGTGGAGGTGGCGGTGAGCCGAGATCGTGCCACTGCACTCCAGCCTGGGCGACAGAGCAAGACTCCATCTCAAAGAAAAAGGCAAAAACAAAACTGTTCACTTGATTCTATCACAAGGAAAGCATTTAAAAATGATTTCAGCATCCACCAATGGGAGGCTCAGTACACAAACTGTGGTCCATCTCTATGTTTTGCTGTGTTTTTAAAAAAGTTTTCTTGAGACAGGGTCTGGCTGTTGTCCAGGCTGTAGTGCAGCAGCACAATCTCAGCTCACTGCAGCCTCAACCTCCAGGGTTCAAACAATTCTCCTGCCTTAGCCTCCTGAGTAGCTAGGACCACAGGCGCCCGCCACCATGCCTGGCTTTTTTTCTTTCCTTTTTATTTTAGATACTGAATTTGGCCATATTGCCCAGGCTAATTACAAGGTCCTGTCTTCAAGTGATCCAACAGGGTTTCACCATGATGGCCAGGCTGGTCTTGAACTCCCAGCTTCAAGCTATCCTCCCACCTCAGACTCCTGAGGCACTGGGACCACAGGTACGTGCCACCCGCCCGGCAATTTTTTTTTTTTTTTTTTTTTTTGAGATGGAGTTTCTCTCTTGTTACCCAGGCTGGAGTGCAATGGCGCAATCTCGGCTCACCGCAACCTCCGCCTCCTGGGTTCAGGCAATTCTCCTGCCTCAGCCTCCCGAGTAGCTGGGATTACAGGCATGCACCACCATGCCCAGCTAATTTTTTGTATTTTTAGTAGAAACGGGGTTTCACCATGTTGACCAGGACGGTCTCGATCTCTTGACCTCGTGATCCACCCGCCTCGGCCTCCCAAAGTGCTGGGATTACAGGCTTGAGCCACCACGCCCGGCCCAATTTTTGTATTTTTCTGTAGAGACGACAGTGTTGGGATATGTTTCCCAGGCTGGTGTCGGCCTCCCGAGGCGCTGGGAGCACAGGTGTGAGCCCCGCACCTGCCCATTCCTCTCACCTGCAGCAGCAACAGGTCATTCAGGTTCTGCTGGGGGTCGTAGCCGTTCTCGCTGATCCTGCTGATGGAGAAGGTCTGCCGGGACCTCCTCTCCCGCCGCCTCAGGTCATAGGCGCCCAGCACCACGGTGCCGACCCCAGGGTTCCTAAGGGCAGCGGAGGAAAGGGCAGAGCGAGGGCGCCAGCCTGGGGCCTGGGCACAGAGAGAGCTGGCATGCAAATTAGGGAGGATCCCAGCCTGCAAACGGTGTTTCTTCACCCTGAAAACTCCCCTCCTTTGACAGAAGTGGAGCCGAGACCCTCCAGGGCCCCCTCCCCATCCAGAGCCCTTCCCTTCTCTGGGCTTCCTCCATCTGACCCCTTCCCTTCTCTGGGTCTCCTCCATCTGAGCCCTTCCCTTCTCTGAGCCTCCTCCATCTGAGCCCCTTCCTTACTCTGGGCCTCCTCCATCTGAGGCCCTTGCCTTCTCTGGGCCTCCTCCAACTAAGCCCCCCAATATTGTTCCTTGGTCCCGCCTTGACTCACTCTCCATGTCCCTCTCCAAGCCCCCTCCGTTCCCTGAGCCTCCCCTTTTGCAACCCCCTCCCCTCCTCAACTACCAAGCACCCCCTCTGAATCTCCTAAGCACCCCCAAGCTGCTTCTCTGAGCCCCAGGTCCCCCTCACTGGCTTCGGAAGCAGCTGGCTGCCGTCATCACGAAGCGGGGATGGACCAGGGCACCCCCGCAGAAGTGCCTCCCCTCATTCTGAATGGAGGCCAGGAACGGGAACTGGCGGGGCCTCGCCTTCCGGCCTCCCACGATGTCTGTGAGGGGGCTGGAACCTGGGTGGGGAAAGGCAGCTCTGAGACCTCCAGAGCCCACACGGTGGCCAGGAGGACACGTGAAGCTCCAGCGTCGGCTCCATGGGGCTGCGGTGGGACCCACCCTCACCCGTCACCCCACGCCCTAAGAGGACAGGCGGCCCCGAGTCTCACACACCCTCCGCCTGCAAGCCTCTCCCAGGACTGTCCGGCTGGGCTGGCTGTGTGACCCAGGCCAAGCCCTCACCTCCTCTGTGCCTTGAGTCTGGCTCTGCTCGGGCAGATGGGCCCCCAGCACAGACAAAGGACCACCCGGCGCAGACAGGCACTCACCGGCCCTCGAGGACGCCAGCAGGGCAGCCAGCAGGACCAGGACGGTCAGCGGGGTCATGGTGGGGAAGCTCTGTGGCTACGTTGGCAGCCGCCCTTATACACGGGCCTTGGCGGTTGGTGGTGTCCCCACCCATGCCCAGGGACAGCCTCACTCAGTTGGGAACACGGGAAATTGCTCAAGGCCTCCTCTGTAAACTGCTCCCGGGGTCTGCCTGGGCTCCCCCCTCGTCCCCCGCTGACCCTCAGTTTCCCCTCTAGAAGCCGGCAGCACCCCCAGGGGCAGGTGGGGGTGACAGGAACCAGTGGAGCCTGTGGCCCAGCACACAGCAGGCACACAGCCAGCACCCAGCAAACACCAGCGACATTGCCAACTCAGAGCGCTGGTCTCCCCATCCCAAGCTCCTGGGGCTCCATCACTCCCCGCTGGGCCTGGGGCCAGGGGGGCCGGCAGGCCTGTGTGGAGGCCTGTGGGTCTGTGTGGGTGATTATTGTGTTACTTTTTCAATAGCTTTACTGAGATGTCATTGACCCACTGGGTGCGGTGGGTCACGCCTGTAATCCCAGCACTTTGGGAGGCCGATCACCAGAGGTCGGGAGATCAAGACCAGCCTGGCCAACATGGTGAAACCCCTCTCTACTGAAAATACAAAAAAAAAAAAAAAAAAAAAAAAAAAAAAATTAGGTGGGCGTGGTGGCATGTGCCTGTAATCCCAGCTACTCGGGAGGCTGAGGCAGGAGAATTGCCTGAACTCAGGAGGCGGAGGTTGCAGTGAGCCGAAATCCTGCCATTGCACTCCAGTCTGGGTAACAAGAGCGAAACACCATCTCAAAAAAAAAAAAAAAAGTTATTTAATAAAAAAAATATACAATGTACATATATAAACAAATAAAAACTCTATAAAAATAAATAAATGATGCCGGGCACGGTGGTTCAAGCTTGTAATCCCAGCACTTTGGGAGGCCGAGGCGGGTGGATCACGAGGTCAAGAGATCGAGACCATCCTGGTCAATATGGTGAAACCCCGTCTCTACTAAAAATACAAAAAATTAGCTGGCCTTGGTGGCGTGTGCCTGTAATCCCAGCTACTCAGGAGGCTGAGGCAGGAGAATTGCCTGAACCCAGGAGGCGGAGGTTGCGGTGAGCCGAGATTGCGCCATTGCACTCCAGCCTGGGTAACAAGAGCGAAACTCCGTCTCAAATAAATAAATTAAATAAATAAATAAATAAATAAATAAATGAAATGTCCAGAACAAGCAAATTTGCAGAGGCAGGAAGTGGATTTGTGGTTGCCAGGGGCGGGGGGAGGCAGGGAGTGACGGCTGATGGAGATGGGGCTTCCTTTTTTGGGGTGATGGAATGTTCTGGAAATGGATAGTGGTGATGGTTGCACGGCTCTGCAAAGGCACCGAAAACCACTGAACTGTAAGGTTCTAAATGGCTAATTTTATGTTATGTAAATTTCGTTTTTTCTTGTTATTTTTTAGCGTCAAGGTCTTGCTGGCTGGAGTGCAGCGGCGCCATCTTGTCTCGCTGTGGCTTCCGATTCCCGGGTTCAAGCAATCCTCCTGCCTCAGCCTCCCGAGTAGCTGGGACCACAGGCACATGCCTGTAGAGATGGGGTCTCACTATGTTGCTGAGCTGGTTTGGAACTCCTGACCTCAAGCAGTCCACCCGCCTTGGCCTCCCAAGGTGCTGGGAGTACAGGTATGAGCTACTGCCTGCAACCTCACCTCCATTTACAGGGGGAGCTGAGGTCTGGGGCTAACCATATCCCCACGCCACTGGGGACACCAGTTTGTGTCTGGGCCTGTGGGGGCCTTTCAGGGCAGTTTGCCCCTCCAAGGGGTGAATCTGGGGGGAGTCCAGGGAGGCAAGGCCAGTGTGCCTTGGGGTCCCCTGCCCATCAGGAATGTAGGGCTCCAGGGCTCAACTCCAGTCTCCGCTGAGCCTCAGGGCCTGGCTGCCTCACAGGGTCCGTGGCATGGCCCCCAGACCCCTGCCTCAGTCTGAGCCACCTCTCCCTTCCTGTCCACCCCAGATCCCACCTGTCCATCCTTCCCGCTGAGACCCCAGCATCTGTCCAGCCTGTGCTGGCCAAGCATAGGCCTCACACAGACAGGCCCTGCCTTCTAGAAAGAATGGTGCTGAGCATGGAGTGGGTTCATATTTCTTTTTTTTTTTTTTTTTGAGACGGAGTTTCGCTCTTGTTACCCAGGCTGAAGTGCAATGGCGCGATCTCGGCTCACCGCAACCTCCGCCTCCTGGGTTCAGGCAATTCTCCTGCCTCAGCCTCCTGAGTAGCTGGGATTACAGGCATGTGCCACCATGCCCAGCTAATTTTTTTGTATTTTTAGTAGAGACGGGGTTTCACCATGTTGACCAGGATGGTCTCGATCTCTCGACCTCGTGATCCACCCGCCTCGGCCTCCCAAAGTGCTGGGATTACAGGCTTGAGCCACCGCGCCCGGCCATGGAGTGGGTTCATATTTCTAAAGGTTTTTGAGCCTGGGCATGGTGCTCACGCCTGTAATCCCAGCGCCTTTGGAGGCTGAGGTGGGAGGATCACTTGAACCCAGGAGTTTGAGACCAGCCTTGGCTACATGGTTAGACCCTATTTCTTTTTTTTTCTTTTTTTTCTTATTTTATTTTATTTTATTTTTTTATTCTTTGGTTAGACCCTATTTCTATTAAAAAATAATAATAATAAGGCCAGGCACGGTGGCTCACACCCGTCATCTGAGCACTTTGGGAGGCCAAGGTGGGCAGATCACCTGAGGTCAGGAGTTCAAGACCAGCCTGGCCAACATGGGGAGCCCTTGTCTCTACTAAATATACAAAAATTAGCCAGATGTGGTGGTGGGCGCCTGTAATCTCAGATACTTGGGAGGCTGAGGCAGGAGAATCACTTGAACCCTGGAGGCAGAGGTTACAGTGAGCTGAGATCGCGCCATTTGAACTCTAGCCTGGGTGACAGAGCAAGACTCCATCTCCAAATAATAGTAATGGTAATAATAATTTTCTTTCTTTCTTTTTTTTTTAAAGATGGGGTTTCTCCATGATGGCCAGGCTGGTCTTGAACTCCTGACCTCAGGTGATCCACCCACCTCGGCATCCCAAAGTGCTGGGATTACAGGCATGAGCCACCGCGCCCGGCCTCTAATAACAATTTTCAAATAAAATGAAGGTTTTTGAGCAGTATCTGATATGCTCCACCCCTCCAGCCTGCTCCGAATTCTGCCATGGATCACCAGTGCCCTACAGCCAAGCCCAGGTGCCTCAGCCCAGCAATGTGCCCACCACGGCCAGGCCTGCCCCATTTCAGAAGATGCTGAGACTCCCCCAGATCCCCTGCTGGTCCCCCAAGCTGTCAGGAGGGTCCTCCCTGGACACCCTCCCACTCCTGACCCTAGAAGTCTCCCGAAAAGCGATTGCATTTTCCTCCTCCTCCAGAGAGCTGTTTGTGGTCACCTTTCAACACCAGATTCCCAACAGCCACCCTGGCCCCACCCCTCACAGGCCAGGGAAACAGAGCCCCAGCCACAGCAGGCAACGTCCCCCTCCCCAGGGCCGTTGGGGAGGAACAGGAACGAACGGAACCCACCTGTGCCCAGCTGCTCACAGGGCCTTCCTGAGCCCCTCTGCAGGAACCCGGGTGCTGAAAACCCCTCCACAGGCAGTCCATGCCCTCCTATCCCAGGAAGCAGGGCCGCCTCTGAATCCGCCCAAAGGTGGCCACACCATCCAGTTCCCATCCTATTCCCCTCACACTTTACTGTCCCTGCATTCATGGCGGACCACCCTCTTCCCAGGAGGCAGAAGTGCCTGTTATCAGCAAACTGAGGCCTCAGGCAGGCCACAACCCTCAGGAAGTGACTTTTTTTTTTTTTTTTTTTTTAAGACAGTCTCGCTCTGTTGCCCAGGCTGGAGTGCAGTGGTGCCATCTCAGCTCACTGCAACCTCCACCTCCCACGTTCAAGAGGGTCTTCTGGCTGGGTGCGATGGCTCACGCCTGTAATCCCAGCACTTTGGGAGGCCAAGGCGGGTGGATCACGAGGTCAAGAGATCGAGACCATCCTGGTCAACATGGTGAAACCCCGTCTCTACTAAAAATACAGAACATTAGCTGGGCATGGTGGCGCATGCCTGTAATCCCAGCTACTCAGGAGGCTGAGGCAGGAGAATTGCCCGAACCCAGGAGGCGAATGTGGCGGTGAGCCAAGATTTCGCCATTGCACTCCAGCCTGGGTAACAAGAATGAAACTCGTCTCAAAAAAAAAAAAAAAAAAAAAAAAAGTGTCTCCTGCCTCAGCCTCCCAAGTAGCTGGGACTACAGGTGTGCGCCACCACGCCCCGCTCCTTTTGTTTGTTTAGTAGACAGGGTTTTACCATGTTGTCCAGGCCGCTCTGGAACTCCTGACTTCAGGGGATCATCCTACCTCAGCCTCCCAAACAGCTGGGATTACAGGTATGAGGCACCACACCCAGCCTGGAAGTCACTTTTTTTTTTTTTTTTGAGATGGAGTTTTGCTCTTGTTGCCCAGGCTGGAGTGCAATCAATGGTCCGATCTCGGCTCACTGCAACCTCCGCCTCCCGGGTTCAGGGGTTCCACCGGCCTCAGCATCGTGAGTAGCTGGGATTACAGGCATGTACCACTATGACTGGCTAATTTTTGTATTTTTACGAGAGATGGGGTTTCACCATGTTGGTCAGGCTGGTCTCGAACTCTTGACCTCGTGATCGGTCACCTGGGCCTCCCAAAGTGCTGCGATCACAGGCGTGAGCCTTGGGCCCCCGGCCCAAGAAACGACTTTTTAAAATCCTACGGTTTGGGGCTCAGAGACTTCGGACAGCGACTCAGGTTGCCCAGGCCTCAGTTTCCCCATCCGTGCAACGGGGGTCAACCAGCCCCTAACCCACAGAGCGACGTGTATAGAAGAGGGAATGCCCACAGACAGCAGGCACCGCTGAAGTGTGCGTCCTGGCACGTTGGTCCCGAGGGCCCTGCCCCCAGCCCCGAACCCCCCCGCCCCGCCCCTCATCCCCCCGCCCCCTAGCAACCCCAGCCCCCAGC